CAATTTTTTCTTTATTGCACGATACTTTTCATTGTGATCAGTAGCAAAATTCGTAGCAAGATAAATGGAAAATTTGGAACTTGTCACCAGTCACTTTATAGTAGACCTGCTGTATTTCAACGTTTCCATTTCGCGGAAAAATCGCAAGCATTTACAGTTTTCTCATTTTCCAGTCGGTAGTCCGATGGATTTACCCAAGATAAAAAAAACCAAGCGTAGAGCAGATTGACGAATATCATGGGAAATTTATCGAGCACGTGGCAGACTTTTTCGAGAAGGAAAAACAGAAATACATCGAAAATGCTGATTCGGTGCACTTAGAATTTATTTAGTGTTGAGTGGAACAAAAAATGGAAATTGCTCGATCATAAATATCTATGTTTCAAATAACTTTTCTAATGTGTAGATTTCTAATAAATAGTGTGCTATTTTTTACGATGTATTGTAGTGAATCTGTTAATTAAATTGTTTACAAATTAAGATGACTTGCACAAATTTAGTTGCTTCTTCCTTTATGTCCCTTCCATATAAAAGTAGATGAAGATTCTTCCTCGCGTACTTACTCTGACAATACCTCAAATGTTGCAATTCCCTCATATTTTGTATGTCACATATCTAATTGCGTCCTGATCTGTAAAAGTTCATCCTGTGAAACTGGAATTCTGATGAAGAAGGTAGAGTTAAATTCTCTTCAGAGAAGACTCAAACATGATACAGAGGAAAGAGCAGGACATTTGGTTTGATAGTGAATTTGCAAATTTGTCGGTAGTAAGAAGTAAGAGAAGTAATAGTAAATTAGTGAACGTGCGTCATCACCTGAAATGACTGACGGAAAATAATAAAATACGCTGGGTTTTGAAAAGACTATGTTAAATGATAAAAGATGTTCGATATGAAAGTTAACGAATTTTGCAGATAACTGCAGAATATAAAAATATGTTGGAAATTGTAACAAACCTGCTAAGAGTTTATGCTTGTCTAACTGCGCAGCAGCATATTTTATTTTTTTATAACACATACCCGCGTATACTTTTTCATATAATATTTCTCATCGTTAAAATGCAGACGTACATGAAAATTTGTATACATACATTTCCATATTTCGGAAGGCAACAAAGGAAGTGCAAAGATTTTATCATTAATATTTATCGATCAACCATTTGTACTCCGCATTTCTCGATTCACGTTTTTACTCAGCGAACAATCGTCGAGATAAAAAGGCTAAATTTTATGTACTTTTCTAGTTTGAAACCTACAGTCTATTCGTTGGAAATCCAATTTTCATTTTACGATACTTTCACTACCTAATTAGATAACTCTTCAATTAACTACATTAGATTATTAAACTGTAATTATCAATAATGAATAACAAGAAACTCGTTGACTAGCATAGATTAAGATAACTAGCTACTTGTTTTTCTCGCACAGAAAAGACGTCTTTTATATAACGCAAAGAAATAGTGATTATTCTCGCAATTAAATCACTGAAACAATCCACTTTTCAAGCACTGTTTCAGTCTCATAAAGATTGAGGATTATATCAAATTATTAAACAATAACCGTTCCTGCAAAAACATTGAATGAAACGTTGATTTAATGAACCGTGTTGATTTAACATATACACGCAGTAACACATACACTTGTCTCCTACTTAGGAATGATAATAGTATTTTTTATTTTATATCTTACATGGTCTTTAACATGACTTGTATAAATTTTAGTCCTTCTCTCTTTATATCTGTTTTCATATAATAAAATGCAAATTATGATTGTAATGGTCTTCAGGTAGCTTCTACTTTCGATATAAACCGCACACTTTGACTGAACGACTTGCTTTCTGATTTCGTTACAATTGTAAAGGACTGAGACTGATCTAATGAAGGACGAATCATCTGATTTCACATTCGAGCATGTTTTGTACAAACTGCTGAGCCAGGTGAATCAGTTAAATTGCAAATTTTCTGGCATCGTGAGATGAGAGAAAAAGATATGAAGTCTGGCATGTAGATGATTCGTGGAAATGAAAGGAACTCGTTTCTGTCACGTGCAATCAGTCATATGACGCAGCGATTAACTTGGGATCACGCAACCGAAGTGATCCACGTGACTGATTATACTTATATTGAGTAACAGAATAATAAAATATTATTTTCGAAAGTAAAGCAAAAGTCCATGCTAAATCATAAAATATATTTGTTACATATTTGTTACGAAAATTAACGCATTTGATTAATTTGATAGCATAACCAAAGGTGCAGAAGAATCTTCGAGATATTTTGAAGATTATAAGAAAATCACAGAGTTTATGCTTCTGTTACTGCTCTTATTCTAATTTAATGCAATTTTCAAATGCAATTTAATGCAATTAATATTATTCTAATCTAATGCAATTTATTCTAACTTCTTGTAATTCATATCCATGCATAATTTTACAATTTTTATGATCAGACTGCGGATTTAAATGCAAATTGGCATGATATAATGGGCAAAATTTGCTTATTCATCTTTGCTCAACGATTCCTCTTGTCATCAATCTCTCTTGTCATCAGTCACCACAGTAAGTAGAAATACATTGCATATAAATGAATCTATATGTAAAATTGTTATTGCATAATATTGCAAGCACAGTGTTGAAGAAATAACGACAACAGATTTCTCATTGAAAGTTTTGAAAATTTATTGCGAATAAGAAACGTTTTTAAACGGATCAAAATGATCTATATTGTATCATAAACGTATCTATATTTATATGTCTACTCATATTTAGTAGAAAACGTGTTTTTCCCTGCGAACACTTCGACAAAGGGAGCCATCAGTATTCCAATGATCAAGAACATCATACACCAACCGATTCTGCGCAACACCTATAAAAATGTAACCCTTTTTTCGTGGATATTTCTAATAATTTCTTTTATACTTCTTACGTTACTTCTTGACTTTCTATTTTCTTACCTTGTCTTGCCATTCCTTGTTCGCCATGCAGTCCCGAAACTTCATCCTCGAAAAGTGAATCGTGCTGTAGAGCGGTATCCATGTATTTGGAATTCGTTTGTGTAGGAACGTGTCTAAAGACTTTCGCAAGAGGAAAGATTTCCTCGTCACCAAATCCCTCATCTGAAAATGTTTCGTCAGTTTCTCCATCCTTGCGACATAACAACGCCAATATCTCATATCGTTTGAAGTCAATTTCAACGAGTTACAGAGTTTCCTTTTCATCCCTTAAACCCTTCAAATGTCTCATTATTATTTTCAGAACAATTTAAGAGAGATCAAGAGAGATCTCGTTTCCTTGTTGATATTTCGAAGATAATTGTAATACTGTTCAAAATTCGTTGTCGAATCAATATTCAATCGGTCAGGAAAAAGTACCAATTCTAGATCTTTCGATTTCGTTGCACGAAATGTTTTATCTTACCACTGGGGAAAACGGGAGATCGCTATTTCTTCTGTTTTTTACGTTCGACGAAATTTTAATAACAGAGAGTTACCTCGATATAATTGTACATGGCAAGCTCGCAAATAGCGTGCGCGTCTTCGCATCGAAGTTCCGTGAATTTCGGTAGGATCAAGCTGAAATCCGAGTTGTAGCGTTCCATTAACTCGTCCAGCAGTAAAATATCTTCGAACCCCTGGCAGAGTAAATTTATTAAAAGATCGACTTACGAGATTGTAAATAACCATGGTTACTTAAATAAATTGCAAGACTACTGAAGATATTTTTTTACATATTTTTTTTTTTTTTTTTTTTTTTATAAAGCTAATCAGACGTGAAATTGAATAACACTCACGGCATTCATTCCTATGCCGTAAAAAGGCACCATAGCGTGAGCAGCATCCCCGACAAGAAGGGTTGTTTTCCCAACGTGATATGGTTTGCACTACGACGTGTTTACAAAAAAAATATAAAGATAAAATTTCGCCTCGTTATTATTCGATGGGTTGTAATAATTTAGGTTGTAATAATGACTGTTGGTCAACCTATCCACACATATACACACGTGTCTAAATATTCTACATTCTAAATTATTAAATTTCAAATGATATTAGTTAAATTATATTTCTAAATTACATATCTAATTATACATCTAATTATATATAAATAAAAATAAATATTGATTTTATTAATCAATTTTTCGTAATTATAAGAAAAAGAAATCCGTCATTTTGAAGTCATTTTGATCTCAAAGTTCCGATGTTAAACGAATCAAATATTCAAAATTTACCTCGATGAAACAGAAATCAGAGATTTCTAATCTCCTTCCAAAATAATTCTCAACAATCTTTTCTCTTTCGATTGACAACGAAACCACTCAAACTCACCTTAATGGAAATCAATGTTTTTGGCTCCCTTTCGAAGTAATCCTTAACTAATTTCTCTCTTCCAATTAATTCCAGTAGATCCGGAAATTGCTTCTGATAAAAGTTCAGAAAATCCTGCGGTGTCTTCAGTTGGTCCAACGTTGTAAAAGGGGCGAATATGTTGCCAGTGAATGTGTGATCGTCGTTTGGCAAGGCTATCATCATGAACTCTCCGCGCGGCCAAATATGAAGGTGTTCACCACTCATCGCGAACTTGAAATCCAACAGAAGTATATTGAACATACTGATACAAATATGCTTGCGCAAAAAAATAAATAACGGAAACAATCTCTGGAAGACGAATAATACCGTATATCTAATTAATGTCTACTTCAAATGTTGCAAATCCAACGATATTGAAATTTCTTGATTTTTCACCTTGACAGAGAGACAAGAAAATGAAGAGTGTGATTTCGTGAAATTTCTGCAGCATTGTACCTGAAGTCGAATATTGACGAAAAAACTTTTCAATTTTTAAAATTTCTAAATTTCCTTTGGAATTTGAAATGAAATGAAAAAAAGACAAGTGAAAGGAGGAAGAGAGAATTTCTTCAGCAATATTTGCGAAAAATTGTGAAAGACAAAACCTCGCGGTTTACCTCGTTGTTTCCCCCAACGGGGACGAATAATTCAACGTAACCATGCTCGATGTACGTCTGACTGCAATTGAACAGCGGTCTTTTCGCCATGATCCTTCTGACAGTGGAGTAAGCACCATCAGCGCCAATTATTAAATCAGCCTCCACCTCTTCGATCGTTTTGTTCTTTGTGCTATAAAATTCAACGAGCTTTACACACCACGAGAACTATGCAATTTCCTTTATTGTTCTACGGGAAATGTTCTTACTCCAATATTTTCAGCCTTCCATTATCCACATTTACGTCGATGATTTTCTTGTTGAAGAAGAGACTCACTCCCGGATACTTCTCGGCGGCTGTTCAACGTGAGGAACATTTCGCGAAACGAAACGGA